TTTCCTTGCGGTAGTTCTTAGCTATTTTTGGTTAATATCGGTCCAGCAGTGTAAGAGTATCAGCTCTTTTCCAAAATGATGTAAGGCATTTTGGCGTATGATTACTCGATTAAGTGCTTCACGCGTGCCAGTTTAATCGTTAAATTACAATTACTTTGCGTAGGGGTTTTTTTATTTTTTATTTATAATTTTTTTTATACTTAAACCAACCCTGACATACCCTGAACAAAACAAAAAAAAATATATTTTAATCGGTCTAACCATTTTAGCGAAACTAATGAACGGCAATTGATTTATATACGAGTATATTATAAGTTACCTATAAATATTATGGTTTATAGGTTGGTTTTATATATATTATAGTTTATAGATTATGATATATTCGTATTAAATTATATTTATCAATTACTTTTTTATTAGGTCTTCTCCAGGTGCAAATCAAAACAATCATAATCAACACTAATAAATCTGTCTCAGAACTTGTTGAGAAATAATAGATAAACCAACCAACTATTAAATATTCTAAAACTAAAAAAATCTTAGATGTGATAAAACGTTAATTTTTTTTATGATTAACGCACAATCTCAAGTTATTTATTAATCTAAAATACTTGGTATAATCTGAAATATAATTTGAAACTTTCAAAAGGTAATTTGGACCTACCTAAATAGTCATTACCTAAATGTTTATTTTAAATGGGTTCTTCTTCAGATCAATATAACATGTTATTTATGATATAAATCTCATAATTTTGTGTTAGCACTAATAGTAAATATACAAAAAAATAACAATTTAAAATATTAAGCTCAAAATACCTTTAAAAAAGCTCAAGTAAATAAATAAATCATTAAAGCTTCTACAACGTGTACTTAACGTGTCATATCAGTGTTAGAAATAAAAGTAATTTACTTAACATTTTTGCAACACAATTGTCGCTTGCTAATGTTAGCCGGGAATGGGGGAAATAATTAACGTTTCATGGCATCATTATTTTGTGCCTCGATTACGCGTGTGTGCGTGCGGGGAGGAGATGTCGTTGCGCAGACGCAGGCCCCGCCCCCCGCGACTAATTGCGCCAATCTGCGTGAAGCGTCTCACGCACACACGCATTTTTATAAACCCACACAACCGATGTACGTTCACGATTGACAAGTAAAACGTATAACGCATTAGGCAAATGCACGCACACATTTTTTTGCGATATTCATTCATTGTTAAATTACAAAAGAAATTAATGTAGCTGCCACGTAATGAATAGTTATACTGTTTCGTTATTATATATAATTTGCCGTTCACTCTACGCTTTGGAAACACTTTTCACATATATGGCAAACAAAATAAAAGCAAATTAAAGAAATGATAATAAAAACAAAAAGGTCAATATATTGTAGCGAATTCATCTGACAGGTAGTGTCTATAAGACATGGACGAATAGCGGTATGGCACATTTGAGAAAAAGGAATGTTTAGTCAATTTAATTGGTATAGTGATGAGGTTGGCACTTTCATATTCATGTTCTTCACCAGACGAGGTAATTGAAAAAATCTAGCCTTTATAAAAAGACAATGATGTGCAACCAGCTGGCAGGACGGACGGACATCGTATTGATCCGTTCATAACTCATAACTCAAAACGTCGTTTGACATTACGTTTTATTACACCTTTTTTTTCATCAGTCATGATATTCCGAGTGTGAGGCATCTGGGAAATGTAGAAATAAAAAGGCAAACACTCCGAATGTAGATATTAATTGCAAAAACAATGTTTCATGGCAGGTGTTTATAATGGCATTAGATAAATTAGTAAATACCTAAACTATTTTAAACAAAATACTTTAACATTTCTTGCATTTTTGTTTAATCTACTTCAGATATATTGTGAAAATCTGTAGTGAAATATTTAATTTCAATTTATTACAATGTACCTACCTAGTAGGTAGGTACCTACCTAACTGGGCAACAAGCCTTTTTGAGAAACATTAATCGTAGGTATAAATTCTATTACAGTTGATACCTATGTAATAAAGTTTTTATAACTTTTTCCATAAAGCAAAAAGATCTATCCTAAATTAAACAGAAATTTAAAGGTTATAGGTACCTATTGATTGTGATGGCTTTCATTTAAGTAGACTTTATTTTAATTTAAATATATATTGCTAATAAGAATTAATTAATTGAATACTCAAACAATACTGATCGATTTATGATAATAACAATAGGTATTCATAAGTATAACTTATTAAGCTGTAAATGACGATATTTCTTATTTACTTATCGAGATAGCAAATAAATGCAACAATGAAAACCTGTTAAACTTTTTTACAAGTCTAATATGTGCACAAGTTTGAAATTCTTTTCTTTAATTTTTGAAATTTTAAAATGAAATAAAAAACATTAATATATGAACTTAAACTCTTTGTAAATATATTGCATTGACGTTTTGTTTAGAAACATGATCTACTATAAAGATAAGACTTGATAATAATCGTTGGGCTGACGTTTAGTTGGCAAAAACAGCATTCCTATGTAATAGTATCGCATCCAGCTGTTCATCCATCTTCACTAAATTGAAAACACTAAAATTACTCTTTTTATTACTAGCTCATTCGATATCCTCTTAACAGAAAACCTGGCCCTACGAAAAATGAATGTTATAGGTACCTACGTGTAATATTTCTATTTCATAACATTGAATAGGTATAATATAACGGTTAGTATGAAATACAAATCTTTGAATTTCTCGGCTTTTCTGTATGTCTGTATAATATGCATGTATTATACGTATAAACCTTCCTCTTGAATCACTCTATCTATTAAAAAAATCTGCATCAAAATCCGTTGCGTAGTTTTAAAGATCTAAGCATACTTAGGGACAGACAGCGTATAGCGTATACCTACTTAGTACGTAATTTGTAGAATACAAAGAGCGTATTTAAAACAATTTTAATTATTTCAGATATATAATTTATGTAGGTGCATATAAAGTTTTAATAACAATTATTGTTAGATTTTCAAGCGTTTTTGTTCACAATTCCAAAAAATAATTTAGATCTACATCTTATAGTAGGTAAAATGCATTAAATTATACTAAAATATAATGAATGCGAATGAATATTTCCATAATTAAAATTTCCAAGAAAAGCAAAACACTAGCTGTGAATCTCAAACGGTGTGATGTAAATAATTTTAACCACACCATCAATCGCGAGGACCAATCATAAATTATTGGATGAGCGTCAAATCGGCTGCCTTGTATCATGTTACATGTTACCTTTTACCCATTACCCGAATGACTTTTATACAAGCGTCGACATGAAACAGTTAAATTATCATTTAAACTATCAAATCTATAATATAGTCAATGCTAAAATATAATAAAATTTATTATTATCTAATAGTTAGGTACCTACGAGTATATAAGAGGTAGATAAATTTCTATTGCGGTCAATCCTAAAGCAATTAAAAACTATTCCTTTCAATATCCTAAATAATTATTGTTAATATTATCAAATTCAAAACTGATAAAGGAAAAATTTAAATATTTTTTATTAGCATTACGATATAAGTGAGAAATGTAAATATTATAAAAACTGCCATTACATCAATTACTTATTAAAAATGATTAAAAAATACCTTTTTGTCGCTGATTAAACGACATTGTAAGAAGTGTGGTAAGATGATATATAAAAATAAGGCATTACACTTTATTAAATATATAAAGTTAATACAATTATGTGAACCGAGCAAGGGCGAACTGCGAAGCCGCTCGTAAAATGTTAAGTGAAAACGATCCGCGTTGTCATCGTAGCAAGTTTATACACACCTTAGCCAACTTAAAAATATGTTTTATTACTTTTTGTCGGCAACAAAAAGGACGGGACACAGGGCATGTAAATAAATGTAAAACCTTAAGAAGCACTAAGTGAAGTTTTCAATAGAGTTTTCAAACGTGTAATTTTCAGTGGCGTAAATAAACGAGGGATAAAATGTGATGATTATTATCAATGTATCAAGTAATTTTATAGTAGGTACCTAATCGAATCACCCGCTGCCGTTGTCGACAAATGAATTTACCAAATTTAGATATAATCAAACCAACAAGAAGCTACATCGTGACTCTGGACATAACACGATAAGAGAGTGAGTTTACAAACTGGATAAAAATTTTGTCGAACGAGGGGTCACATAAAGTACGGCACGTTACTGCTGTGAATGCGACAAAATCGATTCCCAGTTCCGATTCCGAGAAATGACACAGTTTCTTAAGTGTCACATCACTACCGACGCACCGCTTAATAAATTAAGCAGTATCAACCGCATGCCACTCTAGCCTTTAAGGACAAAGCTTTAAACGAGATTTTGTTAACGATTGGGTGAGTAGTTAAAATATAAAGAAGAGCCACCTGTCTCCACGAAAAACTTTATAGCGGCCATAAAATTTAAACCTCAAAGACAAAACCAAAAAGTATGGTATGATTTTTTCTTTTAAGGTGAGGGTCCATTTTAGATCGTGTTTACCTAAGCTGTCACCTTACAGAATGGCGATTTTGACTGGTCGGGACTGCTGAATTAATTGTGGAGTTTTTGGAGAAATATCGTCTGATGAGCGATAAGGCTCGGCGGACGGGTGCCTACCATCACCGCCGGCAATTTGCTTTAAATACGACAGTTACTGTTGTAAAATACATCTCGCACTACCTTAATTGTTAGGACTGACACTTTTGTTAAGTTTCTCCGCATATTCTGAATGACTCTGATTTATAGCGCTCTAAAAAGCAAGAGCTGAATTAACATTATTTAAAATGTTATTTATATAAGTTAATTATATATTCAACATAAAAATATAAGTGAGTATCATTATGGTACGAAACCAGATTTTGGTATTTCCTCTAAAAATGAGTTTATGTATTTTACAAATAGGCGTATAAAAACGCACATAATATATTAGTAGACGCATACATATTACGTATGTACATAAGAAAGAAAGCAGTGTAACTTACCGTGAGAGCCGACTGCCGTAGAATAAGGGGCGTGCATTTGCTGATGGTAGTAGCGGGCGCGGCTGTGGTGCCCGCCCTCCAGCGGCGAGTGGAAGAAGTCCCCGTTAGTCTCTGAGCCGACGTCGCCGGCGGCCGGGCTGCCGTTCACGCGGCTGTCGTACCAGCGCTGCTGCAACGCGCCCGCGCCACCTCCGCCGCCCTCGCCGCTCATGTCCATGACCGCCGAACCGACCTCACAAACCATGCATCGTTTTTATACACACGCACTTTAAGTCCGCACCCCTATCCACATTTCAAGTCAATCGACCAGTCACGCTGACCTATTTACTGAGTGACCGGGCCCAGTCTTAACATCATCGGTTTACGATCACGCGTCACCACTCGAACTCCTCATACCCGTATCTGAAAAGACGTATGGTGATTAGATATATCGCGGGGTGCTTAGCTTACATCAAAGACAAATCACTAAAATAATAAATCGGTATTATACCGAAAAAGAGACAATCAATTAAGATAAAAATGGTGCAGTATCGAAAGACGTCCGTGATATCGATACGCTCCCAATTTGATTAACTGATATACCGCAAACAACACTCGATATGGCTGCGATAAGGTGTAACCGCGCATTAAGCGTTGTTAGCCAACCGAGCACTGATTTTTATTACTACTAAACTAACCGAAGGTATCTGAACGTTGTATCTAGTTGCCCACGAACACGAATAGTTAGGTATTTAATAATTTTATAATTTCATATTTACATCTATCTAACATTCCCATTAAAACTTTCAATTATACATTTTTACTTACTAGGTATGATTTGAAGGCATTATGCTCTATTTACATAATTGAATTTACTTCGAAAGAGAGTGACATGCATCGCATACTTTAATCTAGTACCTATATGTTGCATTCTATGAAATAAGTCGTGGAAGAAGGTGTCTAGTCAAACGCCTTGCGAATAAATAACTACTTATTTATTCAACTATCCAAAACATGTACACGCTCCAAGAATTTGCTTGATTTGATGAATTGTTTCTACCTTTTATATCTAAGTATACATATACATATTTACATACGGTATTGCCTATAATATGATACAACATGGAAGATATTTATTATTTAATTTCTTTTCGTTGACCAAGCGAGCGAAGCGTCTCTACTTTAAGTCTGGCAAAATTTGCTGTCCTTTGTCAGTTTGTTGGTACTCCTCTACAGATCGTATTTTACAACCGATTTGAATGAAACTTGGTATACAGTTTTTACGACTTTTTTCCGGGAATCAAGGATTTTTGATTGGAGAGATACTTCCTCCTAAAAGGAGCAAAAAGGAGGTACTGAACATCTCCGCCTCATGAGATCCCATTTCGATAGATTTTTTTATTTAACAAGTTTAAGTTGGTCTCATAAAAATTTGGTAAAAATCTAACTTACCAAACTCGTAACTTCTTTAAATGCAGTTTGTGCTCGCGACTGTTCGCAGAACTACTAGTTTAATAGATAAAGCATGCCTCATAAGCATTTTCTTTGCATTCGCCATTGTAATAAAACAACAAATTGTTTATTATAATTTAAGCATGCCAAAGTACCATAATAATAACTACATCCGCCTGATAATACTAAAAATTAACGCAACGATTACTGGCACTTACGCTCATGTCTATTAATTTGTATTAAGATAAGATACATCAGAAATTGAAAACGATAATATCGATTAGATTTTATCGCATTCAATGTCCAAATTAATACTACACGGTCTGTGCTTTAACAATGTAAATCAAAGCTAATAAGTATTTATTAAATCCCTTCTATATCTTGACAATTTTTTTTTTTTAAACCCTACCATTTAGCCATTCTGAGACATGTAAATAAACTGACATACCTAATACATATACATAAATTCAGGAATGCGTACTATAGTTAATGCATATGCCTATTATTCTTAAATTTTATAGCCAATTAAATTAAAAAAATAATAATATACAAGCGTCCTTGAATAAATATATTTACAAAAAAAATAATTAAAATCTGCTATAAATATAATATGCAAGTAAATATACTCGTTTAATTTATGGTAGGTCAAGTACTTACTAAAGAGTATAAATATAATAACGGCGTTTAATAGATAACTCTCGAGTGTGTCTATTGACGCACGAAATCACAGATAGAGCTAAGTAAATCTTAAGATCATACATTCAGTTGATAACACATGGAAATAAGTGGATTGCAGATTTTAATACAGATATTATTGAAAATATTAACAGTTATGACAGTAAAGACAAAAGAAATATCTCTTAAAATTTTAAGAAAACATGAGGTACTAATGCTAAAGTTCGATATTGTACAATTTGACAGTTCTTTTCTAGATTAAGACATTTCATTTTTTAATTGTCTTTGGATTCAGACATTTTTTTTTAATTAAGCACCTAATTTTAGTAATCGAGGCAATGCACTAATGTATAAAAACCTTTGAATGTTATTTCTTTATTTCCTTCTATATAATGAAATAGAATAAGTACCTAAGTATTCAAATTTGTAAAAAAACGAAAGAAATTATATATTAGAAAAGTTTAAATTATCGTCTCTATTTAAATTTTAATTTTTTGGAATGTAATAAGACTATAAAAGTTAGGATTTTTTGGGTTAATTTTCTCAATACGACACTTTTTCTGAACCTAAACTTTTTATATAAAATAAGATCAAAAAAGTTTATACGTATAATCATTGATAGACCTAGGTACTATTCCTGATCGATTGGACACGTGGGAAAATAAAACTTACTTATATGAGTATTATTAAATCTTAGCTACTGGTATTTCTGTTTTCGATTAGATTTTTGATTAGATCATATACTTGATAAATCTGTATCACTCTTTGAAGCAAAATGTATAAAAGTTGAACACCTCTTGTTTATTTCATGATTCATTATTAAATTTTTCTATTACACTAAAGCATATAGACACGACAACTAAAAAGCTGTACGAGTACGTCTAACTATACAAAATTTTATATTTTCTTAATAATTAAATGTAAAAAAATCTATTCTGTTAAGAATTATTATTTATGACATAAGTCAAAAGACACATTATTAAAATATTAATATCTTAAAGCACTAAGTAAAAAGTATTATATAAATTTCAAATATTTCAAATATAAATAATAAAATCTAACCTTAACGATAAGATGTGATCAGCACAAAGAAGTGTTAACTATATTTTGGAATCTATCACAACCGTTAAAGGCGCTATCTGACGATCGACTGAAAAAGTCATTTTGTAGATAAAAAAAAAGAAATCACACATTTATCGCAAATTGCGTCCATTTTATATTATTTCCTCGTAATATCAGTGATAAGAGATAACTTTTGAAGACTAGATTTTAATAATTCAAGGTTTATATTGTTTTTACAGATTTATTACATATTGCTAAAGAAAAACTATTCAATATTCCGTCATAATAGTTTATAAGCATATATTATTATTATATTATGTGATCATTTTTATTATTTTATGCTACGAAACATTTGTGGGGAAATAACATCCCGTCGGTCTTTTTGACATTCATTAACTATGTAATATATTTTAGTTTATGTTTTAAATTTGTGTTATTTTATTACATTTCAATATTAATTATAAGGAATATTAATTTTCCTATAAATGGATCTTCAACTAAAATATAAGAAAAGTATTTAAACATTATGAACCGAAATAATTTTATAACTGAAGCTTTTTATTAGGTAATAACAAATAGGTAAAAACAAATCTATCCCACGGGAACCATACATTTTTCCGGGATAAAAAGTAACCTAGGTGCTATTTAGTCATGAAAGAGTAACAAACATTCATTCACCCATCCAAACAAACTTTCACACATTGACCAGAAATACTGCGAAAACCATATTGTGCAAAATTTGGAGGATCATATAAAAAGACTAATGATTTATTTACTTATAAGTTTGAAATAAAGTTACAAGAATTCTCAAGCGGAAAAGTATTAATATTATCACTAAGTGAGATAAATAGGTGTTGCTCTTTCCATGTCAATATATCATATGAAATATTTTATTATAGTAATAATATTGATATTGTTTTTATAAATTAATTGTTAACATACACGGCTTTCTTCAAAAAGCTCGTCTGTATAATATTTGACCTAATCGGTCCAATAAATTGATTATATTAACAATTTTAACAATTTCGCATAAACATTCATACTGTTAACAAAATTTTAGATTTAAAGATAGGTGTCCTTTTTTATTTTTATATACTTATTTCAGTATTAACTATTAATTTGTTTTGGGAAACTTAATTCTTTTTCTAAAATAAAAGTAGCCTAAGTAACTCCTTATAACATCGGCTATCTGCCAGTGAAAGTCCCATCAAAATCGGTCCAGCCGTTTTGGAGATTAGCCGGTATAAACAGACAGATAGACAAAAATGTTAAAAATTATGATTTTTATTATTTAGTATTGTATTTAATTAAATATGCATTTAGTAAAAAGCTGTTATATTTATATTACAAACACACACTTTAATTTTTTATGTGTATTATACATGAAGTTTTAATACATAGTTTGTCCACTCTTTTAAAAGCGGAACATAAAAGCAAATCAAAGAAAACCAGAGAAAATAACAAAGGCGAAGACATATCATAATAGGTAGGTACCATACTCAATATTTTGTTTTAATATATAGTTATCAAATCCATTATAGCACCAATAAACAATACAGATTTAACACTTTAAAATGAGTTACAATATTAATATTAACTTGTCGATACACTGTGGGTTATCAGTACATTATTAAGATTAGGTTGACCAATTAAGATAATTGATTCTCCGTCGGTTAGGCCCAAAAAAATGTGTACGAACATCCCGACTTATCAACGGTACTTTTCTTAAGCGTTCTTTTAATTTGTTTTAACAAAGTATCTACGTTTTTAACTAGTTTAAAATTCATTTGTTATTTATATATATGTACCTATGTATTTATTTGTATATTATATAATGTAACTTAATTGTCTGATTCTTTATTTATTGTTTGTTATTTACATTAATATGTAAATAAATAAAATTAAATCAATAAAATTAATTAACGACCTATAAAAAAATAATCAAAGTATATTATTGAAGTGTATACAGGTAGGTCATAAGCTGCTGGACATAAAGGCATTTTAATACCACATGTCGAAACAAAGCAGGTTATAAATAGAGCTCTCTAAAAACTACTGTCTTAAACCGATAAGACT